AATGTTCAGAAATAAAAAGCATTCTTTATCATACATCATGTTACAAAAAATATACATTTCAAATCTCATTAATTCATTATGTAACTACGCAAATGTGCCGAATATTAAAAGAATATTTAATACCACATGCGCAATCACTTACTTATATTTGGAGATTAGGTAAGTCTTTCTGTGTCAGAATATAATTTAAATATTTATAATAAATAATGAGTAAATCATGAAATTATAATTATTTATTTATTTGTAAATGGCACGCAATGGCCAGGTCAGTTAAGTAGATGTAGAATTGAGGCTATAGGTTAGTATTACCATTTGATTAGTTTTCAATGGCATATTATTACCAACATTGGTTGCATAGCATGGTTCACTGAACCACTATTATGCGAATAACACATTGCTTTTAATAAGTATACAGCTGTTCGTCGATTGGAATAATCGGTTCTGCGTCATCCACACGAATATTACATACGCATGCGTACAATTCTATTATTAATAAGCAGCCGTCAGTGATGTGAACAGGTTGTGCTTATACATAGTTAGAGATGTTCAAAAGCAAAAACTCTATTTTTTATTTCAGCATAAACAATTTAGTAGTCCCCGTTACTAATTTAGTCTATATGATATTTCAATTCGTATTACAAAGTCCCGAATATAACGCTTAAAATATGTGCCATTATTTATGTCATTTTATAAAATGACTACGTGCAATTGGGAATGCTGTATGAAATTGCAGAAAAAAATAACGCGCACATGTAACCGAATACATACGGCCACCAGTCGGCCATACTGAAAGGGGTTGCATAACAAAAATAAATTGCACCTAAAATGTACTACCATCACGTCGACTTTGTTGGGCTTGAACAGCCCAATCATCTCAAAGATCGTTGACATGTTCGAGTTTGATGATTTAACGTGTTTTAACGGGCACTCCCCGCGATAAACTGCCTGTATACGTACCAACAAGGAACTTAGTTAACAGAGAAACAAATAAGAACACAGTAAAACAATCGTTCACCTGTCTGTAATCTTGAATAAAATCTTGAATTCAATTTGGAATTGAAAAGGAATAACAAAACCTAATATACATTGCCCCTATTCCAAGTTTTTATTGAAATCGACATCTCCGGAATACAGTTGCAGACACATTCAATTAAAGGGATTTAGGACTCTTTTACATCAAAGCTGGCCGCCAGTCGGACACATTTAATCGGATCAAAAAATATAAATTGATGTATGTTTTGTAACTAACTAACTAAGACTAAGAAATTATTTACGTTATCGAGGACACTATTTTATACCGGACTATAATGAAACTGAACATTATCCTGTCCACGTTTTATATTAAAACAATGCGATAAAAATAGTTAATTTCCTTACGTAAATTAGCTCATTGGTATGAACATGGTGATGCCGGTTTTATATGATACCGTTAACTTTTCCTTCGTCTGATTTATTTATATATAAAAAAGAATTCCCCAAACACACGCTACATTTCTATCCAGACTTCTTCAATTATTTATAGTTTCCAGATTGCCATGTTTTGAGGCAGTTAGACATTGTCATTACGCTTTCTGAAAACAGCAAACCACATAGCATTAAATACCTTTCTACCCTACCATACGTCAAGTGATATATTCTATTTATTTATCATGTTTGGTAAATTGTGTAGTACCATTGTTTCATAAATCTTGTTAGGTGCATAGGGAGGTAGTAGACAAAACGAGCAAGCAGCTCCAATCACAATTTATTATCTGTGACAATACCTGAATTGGCTTCGTTCAAAGAATAATGACCATGTAAAAAGCGAACGCATTTATTCGCGCGACTAACCGTAGCTTAATTACAAAAGTAAACTTAAGCGAAGTGGAAGTGCTGCAATAATGACATGCATGGCCAGTGTAAGTAAGTATTACGTGGAATGAATGCATTTTCTGCAAAGCAGATGACACATATAAAGGTAAAATAAGAAAGGTACAGACTATATATAAAAACATATTAAAATATTTCTTGGTGGTGTACGTTTCCAGCGTTAAGTCAAGCATACACACATAGATGATATATAGTTAAACTGCGCAGATAATGAACAATTGTTCTCATTTCTGGTCATATTCTAATTTCGAACTACTATTATGAGAAGTACATGTAAGTGAAATGACATCATGTTAACGTCAATCAAAAAAAGTAAATTACATTTTATTCAATGAATCTTTTAAAGGTTTATTATATGATGATCCAGTGCAATAAAACAGTACAATAAAACATTATCATGTTACGCAATAAAAAATCCCAATAATCCGTTCGGCCAATGAAAGAAAATAGACCATTTTCCGTTTACAACAAAATCCTGCATTATGCGTGCAATCGTGCTTGAAAACAGCTCGAGCGAAGGTCACACAATGTCGTCAAAACGCACGAGATTCGACTAAAGCGAAGTAATTTTGGAGTATTTTCACTCGTGATATTATGCTGTAAACATATGATGAAGTAATAGCAGCTCAACTCCATATTCCCCTCTGAATGATTTGCGTTTCGACATTGAGCTATTATAATAACAAAATTAATCAAGTTCAAAATCATGTCATTCGATTTTTACAAAGTACGTTCAGTCCGCGCCTTTCAAGTAATCTTGCATTGAACGGAAAATCGCCTATTCAACTTTTAACATTATAGCTGGCAATCTAAAATACTCAATCTGTTGTGGATTTTATATTGTAATTTTTGAAGCGTTGTCAAGATTTTCATTCATTCGAATATTTTTAGTAGATTGAATATCAGTGAAAATATGAATCTGGCTAGTTATAAAAATGTATTTTCCCAATCACACATTGTCCACATTTTCAAGTTTTCATCCGAGTCCAGTTAGTGTCGATTTTACACGACGTGTCTCGAATCTAGGAATACATTTATTACAACCATTTGTAATCTTGTTACCAAAACAATAAATATTGATGTGTTCAGAAATAATCATATTCTTTAATTGCATGTGGGTAAACTGACGGTAATCGGGATTGATGGAACGGCGATCGCTTGTAAAAATGACAATAAAATATCATTGAAGTTATAGGAAAGTAAACGTGCGTGTAACACATTTTCAGTCTATTTTTTCAATATATTTCGGACTTATTGTCCTTGTATACTGTATCGCGAGAAAGGAAATTGGCGAGGTATTATAAATTAAAATAATTAAGGGAACAGTATTAATATCTTTTCCAAATATAGATTTCCGTAAATTGACAGAAATGTGTTCATCATTGCTGGAAAATAAGAGTTTTTTAATTTGAAATCCCAAATTAGTCTGGGCAGCGATGTAAGTTTTGTTATCTTTGAAACTATCGCCACAATAACTCTAATTAGTACTACTTCTTATAGCATATTTCGGAAGCAAGCCGCATTTGTTATATAATACGTCCGACAATATAAGAAAACGCCACCCATCCATCCATCCATCATTTGCCTCCTTAGAAGATCAATATGTTGCCACTATGACATCATGTATTACGTTGCTAGATAGATGGTTACAATGTAATACGCTCTAGTAGCACGATTTATGTTATGAACGCTGCTTGGGAAGGGATATACTACAGGGGGTCAAAAATAAACGACCCTGTTGTCATTTTGCGTGTTGTTCACGGCGAGAAATAAAATAGATTATGTTTGAAATGGCCTCGAGGAAACGGCTACATATGCAATATATGATCCCCGCAAATAAAAACAGCGACCCAATCACAGACGGCAAATCATAATAGTTTTGATTACGACCATCGAATAAATGTGTTAGCTGTTACATGTTTTCATTCGTGGTAGGACAAAAAAAAAACACAATGTAAGTCACAAACAGGTGAACAGCGTGGCGGTAAATGAATAAATAAGTATCGTTGAAAACGGATAAAATTTCATTTTACGACTAAATTTTTGATATACGCTCTAAATAAATCTGTGTGCTTAAAAGAATTAAGTATGGTAATGTGATCTTACGTAGACAGTCATTGCCACTGGCGCCAAATTTAAGGAACATTCGATATATTAAAAATCCAGTTTATAGTTCTACTATGAATACATTATCTTTGGAATGTCTTCTTTAAACAAACATCATTAAAATCAGTACATCAACTAATCGGTAATTCTGCGCTCCCTTATTTATATACGCCCGGTTCTACCGTATGTTACAGTTCGTTATCTACACTGGAGAAGTCTAATATGCAAGATGGACTGAATTTTCGGTGCGTTACTAATTAAGCCAATGAGGAAGCAACATCTAAAATAAAAAATACTTCATTTATTGATATGAATCTACTAATAACTACTGCGTAATTAATACAGCACACTGTTTATACAAATGTTTTTTTGAGTCGTTTTGCGAACTGTATTTTATCTTGCTGTTTATGTTCCATGTATGATACTCCGTGAAAACAGATTTGAATAATGAAAACACGACTTTTTTGCGGGGGGAATGCAACACGTTATAACTGGAATTGCTACCATGAAAAACACACACACGCTGTAATATGCCTTCTTTGCATAGCTACTGGCGTAGAATAATGAATGGAGACATTATCAATACTATGAACACGGTTCAACAATTTCAAAATTAAAAAAAATGTTACATTGTAAAAATTCGAAACATGAATTATTAGCGATTTATTTCACATGCAACATAAGAGTTTTACACAAAGATGGCGTTAAGTTATACCTGTATATGCATGTTACAAATTAGAAGAATGTAATGCCACAAATACGCCATTTAAATGAATATTATACCTAAAATTAAATGTTAATTAATGATAAATTGACGCTTATAATTTGTGCTGTTATTGACTCGGGATTACTAGCGTAATAGTTTAGTTTGACTCTGACCTGATATTAGCGACTTGTTGTTACGGAGCAAATGGATTAGTCGTAACCGCTAACAACGTTCAGTGTTGTATATATCTCCACGAACAACATATAAAAGGGAAATGTGTGAACTTGTATTGTTGTTCATTCCATTAAATACATCGATTTCACAGCTCCGTTTCTTTGGTCAATGACACCTCCGTTTGGCTTTCGTGTCTCACTGACTGTTCAGCTATTTGGCTAGTATCATTCATGTAATTCCCATTGGTGACTATCTGAGCGTACGTTGCCCCTTGCAATTCGTTGTGGCTACTAGGTTTCCCGCGTCTTGGCCGTACGCTCGTCGCTCCTAAACTAAACGCATACGATGTCCCCCAGTTGCGGTAAACGCCTGCGTCGTTCTTTCTTTTCCACTTACATTGGAGAGAAGCTTTAAACGTCTTTCGATATGTCTTACTGAGGAAGCAGTAACATATGGGATTGAGAGACGAGCTGCATAATCCAAGCCACTGTACGAAGGGGAACATTTTTATAGCTTCGTTCACAGGGTGGTAGTCCGTCCAGATAGTAGCGACGTGATACGGAAACCAAGAAACGGCAAACAGTAAGACGACTGCCATGAGTAGGCGCACGACTTTGCTTCGACTTCTGTTTTGCGCTTTTAGTTGCTTGTCGGGATTAGCGTCTTTTCCAAGTTCCGAGCTTCTAAACACAAGAGCTCTGACTATCATGGCATAGGCGGCAAACATAAACAACATTGGTAACGCGAACTGAACCAAGAAAAGACACATGTTATAGGCGTGTTTCATACGCATGGACCGCCACTCCTCTTGGCACCAAGTCACCGGTACGACACCGAAAAATACCTCTGTGACTAAGCGATTAACGATGAGTATAGGAATCATCAGTATTAGAGATATAATCCATATTATTACTATCAAGATCCGTACTCGATTTCTAGTAAACAACACCTTGGCCTTCAATGGACTATGGATTGCATAAAATCTATTTAAACTCACTGCAGTCAGGATGAAGACGCTGGAGGAAACTGACATCCCCTGCACACATGGAGTAAGCTTGCACAGTACTTCCCCGTAAATCCATTCCTGGTAGACAATGTTGCCCAGTGTTATCGGCATGCACACCAACACCACCGCCAAGTCACACACAGCTAAGTTGACCAGAAAGCAGTTAATAATAGTCCGTATATGTTTGTTGCGAAACCACGCAATTATAACAAGTATATTACCGATGCATCCCAGAGTAAACGATACGACGTAAAGCACTATTAACGCCAATGTTGATGGCGAGCCGTGCGTGTACAAACCCTGACGGAACGTTTCGATGATTTCGTCAGCGGAATAGTCACCAAGGCTGGTGTCGGTGAGATTACTGCAATTCAAACGTATTAAGGCCGGATCGATATCTGATTCAGATAATATTCCAAGCAATACTAATTGCTGAAGATTCGCCAGCGCGCTGCAGTCCATGGCGTAATGCATATGTGTATACAACACAGTGCGAGAGGCATTGAATAAACGTGAAATACTCCATTCAGCAAACCGGGTGTTTGAGCATGCGCATTGTTCAGTATTTAGTTTAGAGAAAGGCGCAGTCCAGTGCGATTCGAAGTAGAATATGTGAATACATTTATAAGTGTTGTATTGTTTTCATCGGATTCACGTCTGGAGAATTAACACCACCATACCGAGAATGCAAATCATGTATGCGAGTTTAACGACCAGCATAGCGACTCAAAACTCACTCGGTTCTTACGTATTTTTTCGCGGCATGAACTTCGATAATATTCACTGGCTTCTACTAAACCGGACAGTGAAATAACTCATTCTGACTTATGGCTTTGCAATGCAGCGATATAATTAAATATAAGAACGTTATCAATTTATATGCTGGAAATAAAAACAAAAACAAAACCAAACATGACAGGCACCCAGGTTAACCAAATTAATAACGTGGCTGATTGGAGTCCCATGAGTTAGTGTGACAAATAGAGTGCTAATATAAAGGACGGTGGTCGTCGCGATGCGTTGTGTTCGAGGGTCTAATGTGACGTATACAGTGCATCTAAAAACACCTTTTTTGAATCGAAGTTTAAAAGCGTTCTCTCAACGACCACTGCTCTTTTCTTGAATAAACGCATTCCGGTTACGTGCGGTCCATTATTGTTGAACTCCGTTTTACTGAACGGGTATATAATATGGCTAGGGAGGTACGCAAACGACGTAGATCGATTTTAGCACAGGTTCAGATCAGCGGGAGAGAAATATACGGACGTCAATGCATGAAGTCAAGGCGCTTCGAATACGGCGCGCACATCCTTCTTCACGAGTGACATCCCCTTACAAAATCTGTTATAATGAAACTACTTCCTTTTAGGAATGTTTTCATCAGATGGCAGTGAAATTCACTGTGATAAAAATGAATAATTTTGTTTAGTAATACTGGGGAACCTAGAGATTGTTTCAATGACAATAAACATAATATTGAATCAGATATTATTGCACATAGTTATGCTAATATGTTTATATTATTCCACCAACTAAAATTTGATAGCAGGTTTGAACTACCTGACCCGGTATTACTGACGAAATGTAACATACATGTCGTGTTGTGTTCCATCACAAAAGGTGGTGGACATCACGATGCGTCCTGTTCAATATGCTATCTATTATGTTAAGTATACAGCGCATGTAAACTGTATTGTTCGTGGGAACACAGACACACACTGCTCAATCACCACGGCCCTTTGAAGGTTTTAAGAAATGTTTCTTTATACCAATATATTTAATATAATAATTCAACAACCCCATCATAGAACGGGTATATCACAGTTGTCCTAATTCGTGCAACGCCGTGCTTGTTTTCACTGATAGTCGCTGCGGTTTTGTGAAAACACGCATAATAGGCACCAGGTGCTGATTATATTTAGCATTCTGTATTATTCCATATTATAATCATAACTGAGCAAAAAAAAAAACACGAATATTAATGAATAATCACAGGCAGTGGTCACGAGAACAGAGAAACGCACACAGGAGCATTAAATGTGTATCTGTACAGCTATTACGTTAGTTATACAAAGGTCGTGAAAAAGGCGAAACCGTGTAAAAATAATGGCTCACGACTCGTGACGATAGTTGTTTTATTGACTGTGCACTCAAATAGTTTCAATCAGTGGCTGAGTCAGAATTGGGACGGACATATCTTCCAAATTTCAGTGCGGTTCATTTCGTTTGACGATCCCAGCCAATCGCACTTTTATCAGCGCTATTAAGGAGACTAGTCCGTCCAATTGTCTCCTGAATTTAATGACTGATATATGAAAATGTGCGCACTGCGGGACATCTAAATCCACGGGGAATGTTCACCAGCACCAGCACTACGACGTACAGCTTACAAGATACACCGACAAACTATAATGAGTTTGAATGTCAGTAATGCGTGTCCTGTCACCTCGAGTACAGTTGTCGATGCAATTATCGTAGCTCAAATTCAACTGACGATGAAAAACACCATATATTCCTGCCTACAGGTTGATCACTGATAATCATGGCTACTTTGAACTCTACATTCTATTATTCATTCGCGTTGCGATTTGGAACGACAGACATTTCAACCATCACTGGGACTATCGGAATATAGCTTTCTTCTTTTGCATATTTGTCCATGCATGCTAAAATAGTGACGCGTTATGAAATAGCAACATTAATATGCTTACCGATAAAGCAATAATTGTTCCATAAGATGTGCGCCTATTGATGTCAGAGACATTGGTTATACCAATTCTTTCAAACTAAAAACAATGAAACTAGTTGCATGCATCGCATCAATACACATATTTCGTAATTCCGAAATTAAACATTCAAGGGATTAGACGTTTTTATTTATATATTTTATCATTTCATGGCGTAAATTCGGAAACATGGGAATACGGTACCAACTTTTACACCGTGACAGATTTTAGCTAAAGAAATAATTCCTTGTAATTCAAGCAAGCCAACACAATGTGACGAGGCACATATAGATTTACATTCGAGATTAAAACAAACTCCAAGAACTTGCAATGTTATGGTGTACTGTACAAACATTATCAGTGGTAAAAACTGTTTTTACAACAAAGCCTTGTTAGCCTACTAGGCAGCAAGCTACCCAGTTTATAGCGTGATTAACAATTATATTGAGCGTGTAGCTAGAAATCAGAAGTGATTTACAAACACCTCACTCCTAACACCAAATTTCGAAATTAATATTCTGTGTTTTTGTATTAATAATACACTTACCGGTATTACTCGTATTAATACGACAGCTTCCTATCATCTATTGTTATAATTCCAAATTAATAATCGCTGTGTTTGTATTAAAACAATTAGCAGTACTGTCTAGAGTATAATACAATATTTTTTTAATAGGCAGTATGTTAATCAAATGTCATATTTATGTATAGACTTATTAACATCATAATCATAATATTGTTTTTTTTAGTACAGGCATGGACTAACATGTGTCACAGCGTTTATCAACATATTCAAATTGTATGGCCTGAACATAATTAATTAATTAATTAATTTAATAAATGTAATCGGATTGTTCTTTTGTCGAACACTCGTTCTCGGGTAGCCAAGTCGTCTCACATCCGGGTCATTTGCACATACTACACCCTTCCATGCTTGATGGTGCTTGATTATACCACCCACGCTGTCTTCCGGATACCGTATCTAATAACACGTTCTCGATACACCGTCATAATGTCTGATTCACTGGAACTAGATAAACTTCACGCTCACTCTAGACCAAGAGTGGAATTTTGTGAGCGCAACCGTTCAGCAAAACAATTAACCTCATTTGACCTCAATAACCATCTTGATATAGTTTATTGCGACTCAAATCAATGTGATTGATATCAGGTGTTGGTAAAAGACATTGATCGTTTTAATATATCCAAAGACATGTATACAACGCCTGTCTAATTATCTAAAACAGCAACCAGTCTTAACCATTGTTACGTACCGCTCTCTAGCTAGGCACGATGTTATTGGTTGACGCACTCTGTCAAAGAACTGCCTTCAAGGTATTTGTATAGGTAATTACCCAGATTGGTTAGAGGCGGTGCGCACCAGCAATCGTATATTAAAAACGATCATAGCCTCTCCCCACATATGATGCTTATTAGATTTGGTTCATATGCTTTTGATCTCGGCAGGTTGTCTGACAATGCATCAATGGTACTCCGCGGGGTGGCCTGAGCTTGCTGCATCTTATTTTTGTTTTCCACTGCTGTATGCACGTGGCTTTTCCAATTTTGCATCAAGATTGCGGGGAATATTTCGTTTACGTCAGGAATGTACGTAACTGAACTTTTGCTGGTGCCGTGCCTGTAAATAGGGTAAACATGCCGGTCGATTTACCCCGACATGTGTGTTTATAGGGATTGAGAGGGGGGGGGGCAGTACAATTATTTGGATATACTCTACAAAATGAATGTCTTTCACTGAACAAAATACACTTGCTCTAATTGAAAATAAATAACAGCCTGGCATTTTAATTTATATTTATTGCAGATTACTCATATGATCTTCCCCTCTCTGTAACACTTGCATGCACCGGGGGAAACTTATGCTGTAGTGAACAACTAATCCAGTGAGACTTATTGATGTTAACAACTCATCCAGCGAGACACACTGATCTGAACAACGTACCCAGTGAGACACATTAATGTGAAACGAAGTGGAATACATTACTGATACTGAACTACATACGAATACGAACGATTCACAAGATTTGTTTGAATAAAAATCAAGATGACTGAATAGTACTGTGTATTTATTTACATCGCTAACTAATTGTAAACTATTACTCGGTGAAGAAATATTGAATTGATGAATACAACGTACAGATGTAATGTACAAATGCGGGCTTGTTCTGAAGTAACTTGTCACTATATGTTCCACCCTCAGACTGCGGAGATGTTAATTGAATAGTGCATACATATTTAACATGTCTACTGTCGTTTCCGGTTGTGCGTATCAGCTGTATTTGTTTTTCTATGTTGGGACTAATGGCATGATCTTATAGCGAGTCCTGAACCTAACGCTATCATTTTCTTCATGGTCTTTTTTTTAGCTCAGCTGTCGACTTTGTCGATCGGAGCTTATCATATGAGTGATTTCCCTGTCAACTTTTTACTTTTTCGACTTCTTCTTGAAAAGTACTTTGCTTTGATATCTGGAGTATAGGTACCTCACCTAGACCTCACTTAGATTTGTTCATTTCATGATGATATCTTCAATTCTTTAATTTTGGTGAATATTTTTGTCACTTTTGGTAAAAAATGATTTTTTCGACTGCTTGTTGAAAGCCGCAAAGCTGATTTCTTTGATATTAATACATATAGGTACCACAGGTGGTACGTTCTCAGATTTGTACATTTCGTGATGGTATCTTCAATTCCATAATTTTAATGAATATTTAG